TTTACAACACATAAGGAAATCACATCAAATTACAAAATGGTACACAATCATACAGTACTGGGAATCATGACCCAGCCAAGTTGACAGATATTTTGGGAGGACACAATTCAATCCATGACAAGTCTCTTACATACAAATACATAGCAAAGCTAATGTAAGGCCTTGATTCCAACTTCATATCATAACAATTCCTTTTTTCCTGGACTTCCATTTGTTCCTAATGGATATTTCTTCCTTTGCAGCAAGGATGCCTATTCCCATTTGCCTCAGACTAATATCTCATGCATTTTGGGAACAGTATTAAAAAACATCTTACACAGAAACCCTAATTCTATAAATCACCAAGGACAGAAATTACAAATTAGATCTGAGCCTTACAAAGAGGCCACTCTTAATTATTCAGGCACTCTACCTGGAGGCATTACTGATTCATTGTGTACGTGAGCAATCAGAGCAGTGTTCCCAATGACAGGAATCATACAGATAAAAAGTACTTTAAGAAATGTATCGGTAACTCTAATAGAAACTATTAATGATACCACCTCTGCCCTAGATGGAGTACAGATCAGTCCCAACTCACTGGTACGAGTAGTGATGGACAATTGCATTGCTCTAGATTTCTTGTTGGTTAGTCATGGTGGCATCTCTGTCAATCCTAATACTTTTTCTGTACTTGGATTGATGAAACAAGCAAGGTAAAAAGGCTATATATCACCTTTAGGAAAAGACACTTGGCTCTCTAAAGTTGTTCCTCATGACGTATAAGATTTGTTCTTTTGGCCTGGCTTGGGCAGTTGAGGTTCCTGGTTCTGAAGCATTTTACATTAACTCTTAACTGTTGTTGCTTTTGAAATAGTAGTCATGATGCTGATCCACTAAATTCTCTCCATAGTTTTAAATGCTTCTAGGTAACCACTCCCTTGTCAGATGTTTTGTTGATGCAACAACAAAAACATTAAGATCTCACGATACAATTGACTCTGGAGACAACTGAACAATCACAAATCAGGGAAGATCCAACTCTCTAGATTTCCTTGAATTGACCAACCTCTTGCAAGAAAGTGACCAAAAAGATACCACTAGGAGACTGAATATACAAATAACAAAGGGCAGACCG